ATGAAGTAATACACTAATGATTATTTCCAAAATGATGGTAAGGTAAACATCTTTCAAAAAAGAAAGAAAAATCCTAAAATCTTAAGAGGAAAAAAAAAATTTTTTTTTAAAAAATAACGGGAATATTTATCGAATTTCGTTCCGGTTTTTGGGTTTTCTGATTTCCGGATAACGGGTTCTGTACTGTACATACAATAACTGAAAAAAAGGCACTTGATACCTTGGAAAATTCAAGTAAGGTACAGACGGAAATATCCTAATCAGTATATACCTGACCTGACCATATGAAAATATTTTAAACTTAAATTGTTGGCGCAAAGTTTAAATAAAGTTTTGATGCCTCAAACTTTGTACATTTTTTTCTTAATCAATATTAAAAGAACAAGATAACCTTGAAAAAAGCGACAGAAACAACAAAGAACAGTAGAATCTAATATGTTTAAAAGACAGTAACAATATTAACTACACTGTATCTAAATAACAATGAAATTGTGTAAAGTAACTTTCACTCTGATGCCGTAGATCAAAACTGTAACTAATAAGAATACATAATCCTATGACCTGATTATCAAAGGGATGCTATATCATGTATTTTAAGTAACTATTTTAGTGTTTATTGGAATTTTTAAAATAATTATAAAACACTAGTAATAAAACATAGGCATCAATTATAAGATGCAGAAAAATTTTACAAATAATTATATAAAACGAAAAATAATAAAACTAATAATTATAATAGGACTGTCTTCAGAATAGTATGTAACAAGTTCAAGTTAACAATCATCCAAACATTTTAAATGAAAAATAACTTTAAATAATTACCTTCCGCGACTGTTTCCGAGCGATTTGTTTGTCATCATCTTGCCAAAGAGCATCTTCTGCTTCTCGGTCTTTCTTTTCTTTTTCAGCTATTCTCACAGCTTCTCTTCTTTCTTTTGCTTCGACAGCTTTAGTATTGTGCCCAAATTTTTTGGGCATCTTATCGTTGTGGAAAAAACTTTCAGTAGATAACCTAGATTTTAAGAAAATGAATTATATAAACATTATGTTGAATTTGGTTTCACGCAACTTATTATTATAGAAGATGAGTTTCAAGATAATTTCAGAGCTTGAATAACTTAGGAAAAGATCAGCTTTCAAGTTTAAAAATTGAATTTTTAATATTAATAAATTTAAAACTTTCTTGAAACACTTACCTTAATATAAAATATATTTATATCAAAATCAGTAAACAGTAAACAAATCGATGGTAGAAATCACAAACGGCAGAGCGAGGGGGGAAGGGTGAATCTCAACAAAAATAATTATGTTTGAATGTGATAAAAACTGAGCGAGTTCTCATAAGTTTTCGTTCGTATTGAATTTAATATTATGTGTTTTATCTGTTTTTTGCAATCATTCTGTTGTATGAGTTTGGTACGGATCATTCAGATTTTTACATTGAGAACAATGATTTTGAGCAAAGCTATCAATTGATAAAACTTTATTTAAATTTTCGTCAATTTTTTTAAATTAGAATTATATACCTGTAATAAACCACTTTAATCAATATTCATACATTTTAAAAAAAAATGTGCATTTATTTTACTCATAAAAGAGATCTAGCTAACCACGCCAGGCCAAAGCTAAAATCTTATTGGATGCCGCGTTTGTTTAGTTCTGTTTTTCTTTTATTGTTTACGTCAAGGAATATTCTTGAAATTGAAAGGTTGAGAAAGCTATTCTACAGTGAAAACGATAATGTTGAAATGTGTCATGTAGAAAGAATCCATTCATGTTGCATACAATTTAAAATTAACTTGGAAGTTCTATAGTGTTTGTCGTTTCCTTCCCATTTCATTTAGTCAAGTTTATTAGGTTAGCTTTTATTGAAAAAGAACCTAAAAAACAACGCGTTTTGTCTTTCTGTTGCAATTTTTGTTAACAAAATTTTGTGTTATTGGTATAATAAATTTTAACGAGACAATTTACATTGTTCCCACAAGTTTTGTTCCCTTATTTTTAGTCTTGGCGTTAAATGTAAAATGAAAGTATATTTCGATATCTATTATATACATTAAAAGAGGAACATTTTGTATTCTGCACTGCTCATATTTCTAATTTACGATGTTTTTATTTAAAACACTGAAGTTAAACTATATAGCTTACAATTAATGCTCAAAACATCAAAAATGTGCGCATATTTTTTCTTATAAATGCGAAGTAATTATATTTTATTGTCGTTTTAAAACTGTTGACATCCTCTAAGATTTTTTTTTTAAAAAATTGCGAAAGCAAATTGGTATTTTTTAGCTGTGCATAAGCCGAAAGTAGCCAAAAATGTAGACCTTCGTCAACTTTTTTAAATATATTTCTTATTTTTTTAAAACCATAAAATTTAGAAAAAAATTGTTGGATGTCTTTGAGTCAACAACAAACAAAATGCGGATATTTCAGTATTGTGATCTCTCATGTCAACTGCAATCACCAACGTGCTAAATGGATATTAAGCTTCAATTTTTTTGTAAAAAAAAAACTTGTAGAGTTTTGTCTGTGGGTGACTTCAAGTTGAATCCCTTCTGTTTTTTTTTTAAATTTTTTGAGGGCTATTTCCCGAGAGTCATAAAAATTTCCGATATTTTTTCATAGATTATGACATTGAAATATTTGTGACGAAAAAAGCATTAACAAACCATAGAACATCAAGTAAAATATAAGACATTCAAAAAATTAATCAATTCATAAAGAAATTTCTTGTAAATAAAACAATGTGTTACTGTTAGGCAACATAATTAAGCTATTTTTTTATTTCTTTCAGGAGCTAAAATTCGGGGAGATTTCCATATCGCGATCTGTAACTGAATAGCAATAGTCTTGGCAACGGTCCCAGAGAAATTTTTAAAAAAAACATAGAAAGGGACAGACTTGAAGGGTATAACTTGTAGCCTCTCTGTGTTTTTATTTTAAATATTTCCCATTTAAAATCAGTTTGGTGCCTTGGCGATAGTTGTTGGCGTAGCAGATCACGATACGGAAATATCCCCTAAAATTCCTCTGAGGATTCTTATTTACCTTAATCATATTAGTTTTAGTCTTCAAATATATTTATTTAAATATTAATGGTTGAATATTAACTTTCTTTACGAAATTTTTATCTCTTACGTAGTTGGTTCGTAAGTTTGATTAGGTTAAGATTATTTTAATAAGCTTGAATATATATTAAAGTTAATGTGATGATTCTTATTCACCATGTGCATAATAATTTAAATAGCATTCAAATAATATTATTAATTTAAGCTTAATTTGCAAAATAAAGTTTTTAGTAAGTGCTTAAAACTTTAGTCGCAATTTAAGTATATTTTTAATTACATAATATGCTGAGTAACATGTAATGTCATACTGTTAAGCAACTTAATTCAGCCTTTTATTTTCATAAGTGGCGCTGCATAAATTTCATGTGGTGATTCACATTTAACATTTGCATATTAATATTAATCAACATTAAAATATTTTGATTCAAATATTTGAATGTTAATTGAATGATTTTCAAATTAATTGAATGATTACTTTATCAACCAAACTTTCACTAAAAATAAAAAAATTTCTTATTTTGTAGCTTAGTCTATAAATTTAGAAATGTCAACTTTATGGACTGGAAGCATTGTATCAGTAGATTGTGGTGATGTCCTTGGAGTTTTTGAGGGAGAAATTTCAAACGTGGATGATTTAAACCAAACCTTATCTTTAATCAATGTTAGTAGAAATTCAACTAAATGTCAAGTTCCTGAGGTAACTCTGAGGTCAGTATCAATAATTCAGTTTTTCTTTGGAATATTTTCAATCATTGAAGATATTACATAAATATATTGATAAAAAAAGTTTTTTTTCTGAGATATTGTTTTATTAAGTTCCAAAGAACACACAAAGTCAACTCATAACCTTATGGTGCGTAATGCTTTTAAAAAGTGCTTATTTTTGATTTTCATTTTTTAAAAGCCCTTAAAGGTGCTTTTTTTATTGGGTGTTTTAAAAAAGTGCTTCATTTTCCTTTTCAAAAAGGAGATTTTTTTTCTTTACCATGTAGATTTTTGCCACATATTATGAAAAAGTGTGACTTTCACATTGTTCATTCAACGTTTGTGCAATTCATTCAAACACAATGCATTTTGGTGTCCGTCAAATCGTAGCATATTAAAGCGCCAATCATTTTACATGTTTGATGAAATACTTGCGGGTCCGCATGTGCATATACTGAGCTGGGTTCGGTGAGATTCATGCACTCTCATGTGCAATTCAGCTGCATTTTGCATGATATTCTAAAATTCAGGCTACATATTTCACCCTCTAAAATCTCTCGATCTCTTTATGGCGGCTAATTTAATCAAGAAAAGAGTTCTTTTTCAGAATCTAGTTTTATCATGATCATGTAAAGTTCTTGAAAATTATTTTGTATTTTGTTAATGTATATAGTTAATGAATAGCACAAGAAAAAATAAATAAAGTGGTGACGGAAAAGTAAGAACTAGTTGCCAGAATCAGTAATTAGCTTACAGAATTTTTTTCATTTTGTCTTTATTTCTTTATCTAATCATTAGCATATAAAGAATGTCTAATGAGAGCCCTCATTTCTTTTTTATCTAGTATTTTTCAATGAACAATTTGGGGAATTGCACCAAGTATTTTATTGTATAAGGTTCATTAAAAGAAGTTTATTTGGTGTGATTCACGTACACTTGTACAAACTAATAAACGGTAGGCATCTCAACAAATAACTGATAAAGATAAAATCATAAAACAGGATGAAGCTAACACTTCTCTCAATAGAAAATGAGGTTTTAAATGTAAAAAGTTAATTAGTAAAAAACTTTTAAGTATGTTTGTTTGAGATTTTTTATTTTTTTTACTAAAACTTAATACATAGTAAATTGATGTAATAGTTTATGAAATATTTTTTACATCAGTTGAACACAGCTATTTTTAAATATAATGACCCTTACTAGATTAAAAACTTAATTCTCATCAAAAAATATACAGATTGGAAATAAGAGTCTACGTATTTTAAGCGCTCAAAAATAGACGTCCATTTTTTAGAACTTGAAACATGTTGACTGTTATTTCCAATCTGAATATATTTGTAGCGAATAAAGCTTCTAATCAAGTAATATCTTACTGCTTCAGTTTCTTAGGATTATGTATTTAATATAATGCCCTTATTTAAAAAAAAAAAAAAACTTCACATTTTTCTGATATAAAATTTATTAAATCAATGTGCTTCAGATGTTATGGTTTGGCACAAAAAATCACCTTGATAAAGTTGTTAGGAAAAGTTTAATTATTTAAGTATTTTTGCTCTAAATAATTTTTTATTATCTAAATTTAGTTCACCAATATTCATTTATTTATTTTCCTTTTGTAGATTCCTTATGTTTTATTGTAGATTGTATTGTTGATTGATATTGTAGATTTCTTATGTATTTTGTTTTGTTTTATGACTCATGTTTAGGGTTAAAAAGAAATATTTTGATTTTTTCAGTACTCTTGATATTAAGAGCTTAAAGCTCATTGAATCTACTGTTAAAAAGAATAAACAAACAAATACTGTTGAGAAGTCTGCTTTCTCATCACCTACAAAAAATGGGTGTTCTAGTTCACCAGTTCTTTTAGACAGCCAAAAAAAGAAAGGTAAATAATTTAATTATAAGATATATCATTGTTAATCATCAAAGTTTCTTTTCATACAAATGATTTGTGTAAAAATGAGACGAGATAATTTTCCTCTTTCCGTGTTTAAGTAAATTAGACAACTTTTTATTTTTTATCTTATTTATTTTGTGGAGAGCGTCCACTTTGTTTTGTGCTAAAAAAGAATAGTTGAATTTACTAATGCTTCTTTTGCACAAAAGTACCTTAAAATAAGTTGAGATAGATTATATATGAAAATAATCAAATGGATCTCAAAATTTGGAGTTTAAATATTGACAATCAAGTCAAGGACAACATTACATTGACTATTTGTTCTCATTTTTTCAAGAGATATAAACTTAGTTTTAATGTAACTAATATAAAATGATGTATTTTAATACAACATGGTGTTTTGATTATAAGCCTGAATATATTCTTAAATTTTCTCAAACAATGAGATAGCCAGTTTTAGTATTTGAGCATTAAGTTAGTTTTTTTTTCTCTCTTCATTTTCATTGTAATAAGAACTAAAATATCTTGTCCTCTAAATATTTTTTTAAAATTATAAAATTTACCAATTTGACTATGCAAGGATAAAGTAATATTGACTCATAGTTAGCTTTAATTTGTACTTAAAATATTCTGGAGTAATTTATTGTCCTAATTTTGTAGTAAATAAATAATATATCCTTTTTGTGTTTTTATTTTTAAACAATAAATTGTAGGAATATTTTTTTTTTTTTACCTTGTTTAATTTAAAACAGTTAAAATATGCTGCAGGACAAAATTCATTAAAATCCTGTGTCTTTTAAATTTTGAATATCCATTATTGTGCTATTTTCTCACCTCAACAAAATTCAGGAGTTATAATGTATCAAATGAATGATAAATTTTCAATAATTAATTGTATGTTTTCTAAAGTTATCATTTATTATAAAAATGCATTGTATTTTGTAAATATGTGTATTCCTACTAACCAAAGGAATCTTTGTTTCAGGGGAAAACAAGAAAAAAAATGGAAAAAGAGCTGATCCCAAAAAATGGCTTAAAGAGCGAGATGAAGCTTGTTTTAGTGCTACAGTCGACAGCGAGACCTTTGATACAGATTTTGACTTTGAAAAAAATCTTGCCTTATTTGACAAGAAGGCTGTTTTTGAAGAAATAAGTGCACTATGTAAAATGGATCATGTTAAATTAGTTGACTGTAATAAGAAAGGTCAAACAAAATATCGTCATGATGAGAATGTTTTAAATAATGATGTACCGATTCTGAAGCAAATTTCTGTGTCATGTCAGAGTAACAAAGAATATGTAACTGGTAATATGCATTGGTGTTTATTTTTCCTAAAAGAATCGTTCCTAAATTTAAGAAATGTGACGTCTTTGATTTTGCTAATTTTTAATTCCATCTGTTAAAGTACAGAGTTTAAATTAGGATCTTCAAATAATAAATTAAGATAATAAAAAAATAAAATTGTTTCATTGAACAGTCAGAATTTTTACAATAATGTATGTGCTTTAAGGGTCCTAACCAATTTCAGAAAAGTAAAAATCAAAACTGTTATTTTTACATCTATAAACATAAGAAGCTTTAATTATTCCTTTACCTAAATCATTTTCTTAATTTATAATTCTAAATGAAACACTCTTTTTCACACTTTAAAATTGACTTCCTGTTTTTTAATCTATTTTTGATTCAAGTTATGCATTAATTAACTTTTTTGATTTCTCCCTTTCATGAAATGATGAGAAAGACTTTTTCCCTCAACCTATTTAATAGACCAGTTATGATTATTAAGATTTTCCTTATTCTCTAAAACTAAAGATTTTACAGATTTATTTTTCAGGATTTTTCCCTAACTTATTAAGGAGCACTTCGATTTTGTGTCACTTGAATATTCATTATCTTATTAAGATTGTTACATAAAATTAACTTGCTCTTCTTAAAATCATGTGCCTGTGTGTCCTGCTTGCACGATTGCCACCCTTAGATATATATGTGTGTATATATATATATATTAAATTTGGTATTACTTTTGAGGTATACTGCATAATATACGTATTGGCCGCATGCTTGGTTTAGCTCAAGTTTTAAACTCATCAGATTTTTTCAAAAGGTCTAAATAGAATTTTTCTTACATATGAAATATATAATAAATCTAAATATTTTCATCAAATATTGCATAATCATGAATGTGATTCTATATGCCAATCATATAGTATGCAATACAGTATGACAATCCATAATTTATTGCTCTTCGCAACATTTAAAGTGCTTGGGAAATAACAAGTAATGTAAACTAATTTGCTTAATTTTACCAATACTTCTGCATTATTATCAGATCTTATATATTTGTTTAAATAAAGTGGTGGGAAAAATCATGTAAATCAATAATATGGCGAAGCATAAAATATACACCAACTTTAAATATTCATGAAAAAAATTGGTTCGATATTGATTATACATCCTTGCTAAAAACTCTTATTATAATTTTAGACTAAATCCTATATTTTATAATTTAGATTCTGGACTGGTGGTGCCTAGTGTTACAATGGAGTTTAAAAACCTCCTCTATGAAAAAGCTGAACTGGTCGGATTAACTCCACAGGTTAGATTGGAAATGATAGGGCGTGCTGCTACTGAAATGGTTCTACAATTAGTTGGTGGTTGCCATCGGTAAACATTTTTAGTGTTATCCTATACTAATTTTGATTATCTCTGTCAAGGATTCTCAACTTATTACCCTGCTCCTCTACGTAGTAAATCATTGTTTTAAAAGCAATTTCTATCATTTTTTTTTTTAAATAATAATAATCTCCTATTCTGAAACTTATTTTAGTTCTTTTTACTTAAGAAAAAAAAAGTAGCTAAATGCTAAAAACCCAGTATATTTTGTTTTAATTTTTTTAAAGTTGGAAAAATTATGAAGGAACATAATATTTTAAGACTTAAGTTCAATTCATAAAAATTTTATTTCTGGTCATTCACTCATAATTTTTAGGCACATAAAAATGACTAAATGTATGTTTGAATAATTTAAAATACTTACTTATTATTTATTGTAAAACATCTTCTTTTTTTTTTGTCTGTGTACAAATCTATTAAAGTTTGTGCTAATGATTTATTGTAGAACATCTTCTTAATAAACTTTGTGCCAAAAATGTTGCATTGTTTAAAGAAATGTTATAATTGATTTTAAACTTAATTGCATAAGACTTTTTATTTTATATTTTTGTTATCTGTTGAATTTATTTTTGTTAACTAATTCAATATCTTGAGGAGTTATCCCTACTTCCTCACTTATCAAAAACCTTGTAAATCCAATGGGAAATTTACCTCTGGGACTCTTTGTCGTGTATGTAACAAGTCAGATTTTTTAAATGTAAAATTTTTAAAAAGGCTTATGTACTGGCATTGCAATTAGTACATTGTGTAGGCATGAAATTTGTCCTCCAATCTATGATTTTTATATCTTTTTTTTAAAAAAATTATTATTCTGTACTGCCTGTCACAGGCCAAGGCTGTCTCCATAAGCTAGCTCTATCTGACTCTCTCTGGAGCAATAGATTGCCATTAATTGAGCCTAAGATCTCTCTCAACAGAATCGAACCACCAGGTGGGGATCTTTCCTCTTTTTCGTGTACCTTCTATTTCAGAAAAAGTCACTAATTTAGTTGGATTTGAGTTATAATATTTTTTTTAAAAAAAATGTCCTATTTAGATATTAATGACTTTAACCAAATTAAATAATTAAGGGATTTTTTTTTTGTTATATTACCAATGAAAAAATAACCATGCTACCATGCATTTTTAAAAATCTGAAAACTAAGTTAATCAACATTATTCTTAATTTTTATTCGTCCTAATTTTCCTGATAAAGAATATTTTACCCTCATTTGTCCTTTTTTTTTTAGCTTATGATATTCCTCACTCTTGTGTGTTCAAAATATCACACTTTCTGCTAATACAAATGTGGATTTTAGATAATTAGAACCAGAAATTTTGGGTTTTTGATCCCTCATCCTTTTATTTTAATTAATAATGCTTGTAGAAATTGCAAAATTCCAGCTAAATTTTAAGGACCGTCTACTGATTATGTACCTAGTTCAGGTATAAAGCCTAATACACAATATTTATTGAAAGTTGTTTTGTATTCAATATATATTCTGCAACTTCTTAGTTTTAAAGCTCATTTTTATATCATTTTCACTATTTATTTTGGTTACTTTGCAGTCTGACTCCACAGAATACCCATCAGAGACCAACGGTCGTTATTTTATGTGGTCTGCATGTTCAAGGAGCTCAGGCTGTCAATTGTGGTCGTCAATTAGCTAATCATTGTGTAAATGTTTCACTTTTAACTCCTTCACAATCTGTTGAACATCAATCTGAGGTAACAAGGGAGTTAAAATTATACAAGTTAAGTGACGGCAATATGGTATATAATGTAACAGGTATATATTTTTATTTAATTTTTTTTTTGCCAAATCATTCTTGTTTAATTCAGCTTTATTTAACTAGTACATAGCTGCCAACTCTCCTGGATTTTGCTAGTATCTCCTGGTCCTCTGATTTAATAAAAATTCTCCTGGTTTTTGTGCATTTTAGAAAATTTCTAAAATTGAGTAAGTTTTCTAAAAAAAATCCCTATTTAAAGAGAATTGTTTCTCGAATTATTGCTTGCTGGAATGCTTAAATAAGTATTACTAATATATAATGAAGCAAGCCTCATTTATAGAAATCAGTTTACAACTTCTTTTTGTTCTAAAATTTTCAATTAATTTTTATTCATATTTCCCTTTTTAAATTAATTAAAAAATCTTTTAACTATCTTTGATTAATTTTATGTCTATTACTATTTAAAATTGTGAGTAAATATAATGCACAACATTTTGAAGTTCATTTAATGTTAATCATAACTGGATAATATTGCACTTTTCCTACTTTGATGACTGTAAAAAAAATCCCTAAAATTCTATGTGTGTAAAATATTTAGTACATTATGCAACAAATGTCATGAAGTTTATTTTTATTTTGTAAAATCTACCGGATTTTTTCCTAACCATGTTGGCAGCTATGCTAGTATTTTTATGCCCTCTTAAAAGGAAATGTTAAGGATAACATTGACAAGTTTTTTCATAGTTTTAACCATGCTATAAATTGCTACATCAATAACCTTAAAAAGAATTGCATTTATATATTACACTACCCTACATTTAATGTGATCTTATCAGTACCTGAAGACTTGGATTACAAAAGTCTGATTTCACTAATGAAGTATCCATTTTACATCAGATAAGAGATTGTATTTTCCTATTTCTTACAGCATTTTGAGTCTAAATATGCCATAGAATTTATTAAAGTAATTTCACTGTGAACTTTAATTTTCATTTAATTACTAAAATTCTTAATCCTAAGTGTAATTATTTTAATTCAAGTTTGGTGTTAATAAGGTTAACAATACAAAAAAGTGAAAGTTCACTGCTTCCTTAATACATGCTAATAGGTGTAAGAAAACTTTTGCTGCTCCCTATCATAGATATCACCCATTTTTGTTGGTAATAACCCCTGACCTACACAAGCCACTTCCAGATTCTTAAAAGTCCCTAACCCTAATTTCACTTTTATTAAATTTAGATGAATATCTAAGTAGCTTTGGTTCAGATATCTGGTGGTTGTGAGGCTAATAAGGGAAGAAATTTTATTGTTATTATGTTTAAATGATTAAATTCTTGGAATTATGATAATAAGGGGCTGATTCCATTAATAATCTTACTATACTTGAGGATATTGTATTATAAATATTTATGTTTTAAAGAGCAGAATACATACAAAAGTCAAATGTCTCTTTTCTTATACAGTTCAAGATATGTTAACTTTTTGCACTCTGAGTTCTTTAATATGCTGCTGAAATAAAAGTAAAACATTTCTATATATTTTATAAAGTAATGTGGTTACTAATTATTAATATGTAATATATATATACACATAGTAGTGAATTTCTAGTATTTACTGAGATGACATCAGATTGCAAAAAGTTAAGAGGTTCATATGCTTTAAATAAAGATCGCTGTATGCCAGAATCCTTTCCTATTTTATTTTTTAAGAATTTGTTTCTTTTTAGTCTTTTTTTTCCTTTAAACAATTCTGTTCATAAATTTGTCAAAGGGTCATCATTTTTTATTTTATGTTGTTATGAAGCTTTGTACTTTTCATGAAAATTCCTTGAATATTGAAATCAGTTCTTAGCATTTCAAAAACCCAACCCTGGCTTGGATTTCTTTTTTTTAAATATTTTATTATGAGCTTTGATGCTTAGTGGTCAATATATTTATTGTTTTTTTTTGTAGCATTACCTCCTACTGTTGACATTATACTTGATGCACTAGAACCTCATAGCCCCAGCAATTCCATTGACAACAAACAATGGTTACAGACTGCTAGAGCCTGGGCAAAACAGTCAAAAGCTCCAGTCATGGGCTTGGACCCCCCACCTGATTATGTGTCTTCAGGTTTAAAGTACTTACTGACTCCAGTACTTCCATTAGCCTATAAGAACGATCAGTGTAGCATTTATATTTGTGATATTGGACTTCCTAAAAAACTATTTGACAGTATTAATGGCTGTACATATTCTTCACCCTTCGGGTCGAAGTTTGTTATTCCCCTGTACCTGAGAAATGATCAACGGTGAATGATGATTTTAATCTTACTGTTATTTATTTATTTATGTTAAATGCACAAACTGAAAATATATTGGGTTCATGTACAAATTTAAATTTATCCATACTACAGCTGGAACGGAAAGAACGAAAGTGACACTATTTAAAATGTTGTTCTTTTTCTTGTGCCTTATTCATGAACAATTAAATTTTATGAATTTCATTATGGTGGCTTTACTTACTATGTAATTATTATATACTTTTTTTATGATAAGTTATTTTTTGGGGCCAACATATACTTATAAATAGGCTTATACTTGTGATGTACAGTGTACTATGTTGTACAAAATTCTAGTGTACTGAGTGCACATTTTGCCAAATAAAAGTTTTATTAATATGTGTTAGTGTATTTCTTTTTAAAATGATAGAATTAATTAAATGAGAAGCTTAATATTTTTGTCGCCTACTAAAAAATAGAATGTCATATAGGATTGCTCAATCGTTTTGGAAAAGAGCTGCACTAGTGGATAAAATTGGGTCTGATTTGGAGCCACTGTGAATTTGGTTTTAGCTATATTTTTATTAACTCATTTTGTGTTTGTAACAATGGAATTTCACAATTGAAATTTGGACAGCTTTTTTAATGTATGGAGACCTCATTTGAGGCCATAGTGAATTTCGTTTTAGCTATGATTTTATTAACTCGTTTTGTGTTTACTTCTAACAATTAAATCTTGCAATCAAAATTTCGACAGCTTTACAACTAATTAGAGCACTCAAATTTTTATTTAAGCTTTGTATGCAATGCAATTTATCATGGTATCTCCAAATTTAATTCATTGTCAATCAAAATTTCAACCACTTAAAGAAAATTTTAGCTCAAGATCTGGCTTGATGACTTCACATGACTTATATCTTGTTCAAATTTTCAATCGTTAATAAAATATTTTTTATTCATCCACTTAAGTTTAAATACATTGTTTTTAAACTAGTAGTGAGTGACACTTGATATTTATACAGTTTTTTTTTTTTTTCAAATATTAAATAATGATGATCGAAAAACGAAATGGAATTTTCTGATTGACTAAGCGTAAGTCATTGTTTTAAATTTTACTATAAGCGATTCAGTTTTTCACGTATTTTAAAAGATAACCTTTAAAAGATTTCTAACTCATAGCTCTATTTGAACAAGAAAGTAGTTTTTTGCGCACGTTTAAATATTTAATTATATTAGCTGTGTCAGATAAATTCATTAAAGAACATTACGTGACAAAAATTTATAGTTGTCTGAAACCAAGTGCCTTTATTTTTTCAATTCCTACTGTATTAGTTCACACTCTCCCTATATAAATTCATGTATTTTGTTCAAATTTTCAATCGATAATAAAATACTTTATACACTCAAGTTCAAAAACATTTATTTAAGCATGTAGAGGATGGCACTTGATGTTAATACAGTTTTTTTCAAGTATTAATTCATTAATTTAATTAATTAATTTTAGATTAGAATTAAATTTAGAGAAAAAGAATTAATCATTTAATAACTAGTAACTGAAATAAAATTTTGCTTTGTTGACCTAAATAACTTTGAAAAAAAAAATTATTACTTTTTTAAATAGTGATGAAAAAAAGTATTTCAGGTATCCATTTGCCAATCCTTATATTTTCCTCAACTAATCTAATCACCTCCTTGCCAAAGAAAAACCTTTTTTTCAATCACTCTTCACAGAGCTCCTGCAAACGAGCCAGTTTCTTCAGTTATTGAGGGATAAAATGTCATTCAGATCATCTTTAAAAACCCCCTCGCTATTTTTTTAGAGTAAAAGAGAAATTCAAAAACGGTAACAGTAGTTGTTACAGTTTGGTTAGTTGTATAGGAGAATGTTGCATGTAGTTGAAAAAACAATATCAATTTAATTACTTATTGCAGAGACTTATCTTAATTTTTAAATGCATAAAAATTTCTTCGATTATATGAGTGTGTAAACGACTCTTAAGTTGAATGTTAGTATTGTGGAAGCATTTTTTAGTTGTCTCTCTACTTTAAAAGGAAAAAAAAAAAAACAATTTTTGTCACAATTTTCTTAAAAAGGCTTGAATAAAATATTAATTTTTTGTTTTGTAAGCTTAAGTCTTAAAATTAGAAATTTTAAATAAAAATAAAAAATATTTTCAAAATAATTGTAAAATTTCAATGACGCAATGAAATATATTGTTTTTTATAGACTTTTTGAAGAAAAATTTGACTATACATATTGTTACTTAAAGCTGGATAAAAATAACAAATTTACACTTAGACTTTAGCTTTTGGTTTAAAACATCTCTAACATTATACGAAATCTACAAACAAAATTTCAAAGAATTCCAAATTTTTTTTTATTGTTATGTGTGTTAGCGCAAAGAAATTTTATCAAAATCGACGCTCTTCAAAAAATTTATTTAAAATGGAAAGAAAATTCTGGGAACAAAAGAAATTTATAATACAAAAATGAGTTTTATTTATCTTCAAAATATAATCAAATAAAAAAATCTTGAAATACTCAAAGAACATCTTAGTTTCGTTTTCGGGAGTTTACTTTTGGTTTCGCCTATCAACATACGAAATAACTATAAAAAAAAAACTACTATAACTTCATTTCTTTTTTCTTATTTTTTTTATTATTTATTTTATCTTTAGGACGCAACGAATTTCAATAATTCTTTCATTTCATGAAATAGGCTTATTTTAATGAAGGTAATATTCGTTATCAATTCGGTATTCGATAAGATTTGCCGATCACCAAATTATTTATAATTCAGTTCATGAGATAGTGATGCCTTTATCTTAGCTGTAAATTAATTTTTTTTTTTTAATATTTATATATCAAAGGATTCATTAATTATTTTATTTATTGACTGGAACAAATAAGCATAAAGCCGTTAAATAAGTAATATATTGGTGGAAAAAATTATCACGTGAGAATGCTTGCAACAAAATAATTTTATTTATTTATTACAGCAAATGAATTATCTATTATTTTTTTTTATTGGGATTTCGTCTTTTTCAATTACTTTTTTGAGTGTGACAAATTAATATATTTTATTAAGATTTCAAAATAATAATATCCAGTGTTGGTGACATTCCTTGAATGGAATATTTTTATTTTAAAAATTTTTTATACATAAAACTTAGCTCAATTTGTATATAGCAAATATATTTCTTCAGCTGTTGGTAAATTAGGTTTTATTATGAATTTGACGTCTAAAAATATACTTGTTTCATTTCTGTTTTGTGAGAAGCCGGGAGAGCTGTATTAAGATCACCGTACTTTTGGATGCTGATCGTGAGAGCTGTGTTAAGTTCACGGCCGTGGTAGCTCCTGTGTTGCCTTCAGCAGTTGAGTGAATACGTTGTGTGTGATCGAGACTGAGTAGCAACAGCGTGAGGAGGACAAGGTCGCAGTCACAAGTAGTACAACTGTTCAATGTGGACCATCCATCAAAGTAGGGTGGGGAAAATAGTTATCGACAATGTCAACCCTCATCTATGAAAAAATACCCCATCATAGAATCGAGTAAACATGTCTTAGATATTAGTGAATTGGAATTGCAATTTTGTAGTGATAGACACACTATAATTCAACTGTCCGCTTCGCGGAGAAGCACTCTGAATGCTACTCTAATCCAAGTCCAAAGGATTTTCATGCAGCAAAATAGAAATCCAAAACAAATTCTAAATTACAAAAAAAAAAAANAAAAAAAAAAAAAAAAAAAAAAAAAAAAAAAAAAAAAAAAAAAAAAAAAATCTAAACGTACTTTAATACGTTAAGAGTATCATTAAAACAAAATACATACATTAAAAAAAGAAACAAATTTTATTTTTCACTAAATTTTATAACCGATAGTGGGTGACCATTTTGATCAGTTTACGAAGAATTCAAAGGTGCGCGTTGTTGGTCTTCCTTAACACATATAAGGATTTAAATTCAATTAAAATCACTGACTAAAGTTTTCTTAAGTTTTTCACAACAACTTGAGAGTTAACTGCACAAAACATTTGTCTATGAATGAGATAAAATTTGAGTTGATAGAATCAATAGTTTTGAAGTTATAATGGTTTTCTTCATAATAAGCGCAAATCAAAAATAATACTTTTTACAGAGAGAAAAAAACATTTTAACTTTGGAAATATTAACTTTTTGACTCGTGATTGGTATCATTCGATTAAAGAGGAAAAATACATACGAAATAATACCTTACTTGTCTGTATAACAATGAAAAATGCGTAAGTAACTCCAAGTTTAAATGATATTTTTCGTAATTATAACACTTATAACTTTTAAACTATTATTAATACGTATGATTAGAAATTTTGCGAAGAGAGAATTCTATTCTAGAGAATTCTATTTGAAGTTAATGAGAGCAAAGTAGAGATGATTGAAAGAAAAAAAAAAGAAATTCATAAAATTAGTAGATATGAAAATAAAGCTTAAAAATGTCAAAAAACTTAATTTTTGTTCCTCGATCACTTTCTGCCCGCCAATCAGATACTAAAAATATTAATCCCATCTATACTTTGATTGGATTCTTAGAATTTGTTAGTCTTTACCTAAATATTACCTCAAAATTAAAAATTTTGGACTTTATATTTGTAAAGAAATGTTAAAAATGAGTGTATACTATAGGTGTTCGGTTTTAAAATTTATTATTACTTCACTTGTTAAATTTATTATTATTTTTTGCAAAAATGAAGTCAAATTTATGAGTACAATGGGAGTCGTAACAACTATGTAAGTAAAAAAAAACCCCGAAATCTACTGAATTACTACTGAAGAAGGCGAGGCTGAAAAATAACAAAAATGATTGTCGGAAAAAACAAAGAGTCTATAAGGGACTGTTATTAGTACTGCTGTACATCTTAGTTTAAACAAGCAATTTAACTGGTTTTAATGTATTTCATGTTCTGCTTGTAATTTCTGTTCTGTTCTGAATTCATGTTCTGCCTGTATTTGATTTCGATTTGAGTTAACACTACTGACGCAGTTTTAGATGCACTTAAAGTCTTTTTTGATTGGTCGTTTTTAATGTCCAATCAGCTAATGCTAAATACAAAATATTTGTATTACATAAGAGATGGCAACAACTTTGTTATTATGATGGAAACTGTCATGACATTTTGTGAGTGAAACCTCTTGACAAATATCAATATTTTAATGTTGGATTAACTCTTAAAAATAAGTATGGAGGCTGTACCTCGATTACCAATGATTAGCTGTGATATTAAAATCAGTCCGAGCAATACTGATTTTGGGCATACGCTTCGTAAGGTAAAAGATTCTTGGAGTAATTATTTATTTTGGAAATGAAGATAATCTTATAGTTGTTTATTTATGTTGTAATGTAATTTTTCCAAGCACTATTCAAGCTCAAACGATTTAATAAAAATAATTGCGTTCTTGATTTATTTATTGCACATTTTATTTAGAATTACATAATTAATGGTCAATTACTTAATACTATGCGTCATTCGAATATTATATTTATAAATTTTGAACTTTAGCAAATGCCAGTTACAATTAAAACTTTAAAATTCTGTGTGGAGATTTGTTTTCCCATATGAAATTGTATGAAATAGATCTACTGTATATGTAACACTGTTGGTTGAAAAAAAAATTTGTTTTTAGTTGCTTGATATTATACAAAATTATTATGGAAAAAAATCAATTAACACTAAAAGTCTAAAAAAGGTGACATTAGACACTTGATGTTATTCTAAAAAGGATTTATATCTGCTTTTATATTGTCAGCTTGTAATTTGATAACTAGTACATGTATTGTTTTGGTTTTTACTTCTGAATTAACATTTTACTTTAACTTTGTTTGATAATTATCACCTGAAACTCTAGAATACCTTTCTCTTTTTTTGGTACTCCCATAAGTATTTGAAGGTAGAACTATTCTAATAAAGAGGCTACCAGTTAATATAAAACTAGTTAGGAAATGAATAAAATTTAATGTAGAAGTTTTTCTATAGGTGTAACAACAGAAAAAACATTCATGTTCACTGCTATGAATGATTTGTAGAAAAATTAAGAGAAAAGAAATTGTACATGGTCACGAAATATTGGAGCTTTAATCTCCATTAGGTTTTTAATGGGATGTTGTGGGAATGCTTTGCTGTACTTTGAAATGTTATCAGTTGGTTTCCTTCATTAATTTTTCTTATCATTATGTAAAATGTGAACTAATTCTTTATTACTTAAATGGTTATTCAATTAGGTTTTTCTATGTGCACTAGAATAATAATCCGTTTTAGCAAAGTCTTATTCATTGTAATTATTTTTAAAACAAACAATATAATAATGTTCTTCCATAACAATTATAATTTATCTATTACTGTTTATTGATATTATTCTTAAATGTTATCATTAACAAAGAAAAGAAACAGTATAAAATTAATTTTTAAAATATTGGTTTTAGGGTGACCCGGTGTAATTCTTGATCAAAAAATGCAAACATCTATTTTGTGAAAAAACTATTCAAGATAGAATTTTAATATTTACTGGAAGTTTGAGGCTATATGAGATGAGTCCTATGTCTCCTTTTGTTTGAAAATCTAATTTGAATTTAAAAGATTTTAAATTTTTAGTGATCAGGAATTACCCCTGGTCTTGATCATTTCTGGGGTAATTCCTGATCACTTCTGGGGTAATTACTGATCACCAGTTTTTATTGTAAAGGGGCTGTTTAAAAATAATTATATAATGGTAATTAACAAATAAGACATCAAGATCAAACAAATAAACCAAAAAGATATGTTTAAGCAGCTAATAAAACTATTTATTTAAAAGCAAGAAGAAAGATTAACACTTTAAATTGCAAAAAATCTTTGCATCATTTTACATACATTTTAGGCAATCAGCCAACTCATTCTCATGTTCTGCTGAAATATAAGAGAGTTCCCTCATGGATTACTTTTGCTGGATTTTTTAACTTCATTAAGTGAAAGTGTAAAGTAAAGTAAGGTATGTCAACTCAACAGCTCTGGCGGCAGCTCTCACATTGAAATTTTCATTTTCAATCATTAAAAGAAATTAACTAATTTTGCTTTCTAGAAGCTTAGTATCCTTTTTAGGCTAATAATTTCTCACCATATTTATACTAAGCTAATTTATAAACTTAAAAATTATTCTAACAATGTACACACATAAAATTAAGATAGAAGCAAGGTATGACAAACCAGAAATGGTGCAAATCAGAATACAGTCTTGTATACCGTTAAAAACAAATTTTGTGATGACAGTTAAAATATATTTTATAGTTGTTCCACTTAATAAATATGAACTGTTATTTAAGANTTCACCCTGATTTTTGTGATAATATTTGTTGCAAAAGGAAATTTGTGTACCAAAATGGCTTATTTAGGCACTAACTATGTAACTAATTTAAATGAAAAGTAAGAAATAAAAATCGTAAAGCATAAATTATGAGAAAATAACATTAATGGTTTAAATTTTTGCAATTCATTATGATTTGCTCATTTGTATTTTAATAAAATAGGACTAAAAAACAATTACTATACCAATTTGAATAAAATTCAAACTGTATTTTTCCACCATTTTTACTATTTTGTACCTGTAAAAGTCTTGAGACAAAAGTAGAGTGTAAAAATATTTGCGTAATCATAGTATTTTTTTTAAATGATTATTCAATATTATCTCATTTTTTTAATCTCAACAGTAGGCCCACACTAGGTGATCATTATTTACCCCAGAAACAGAGTGATCGTGAATTACCCCGGGTCACCCTACTTATCTTTTTAGACTTAATACTCTGTTTCAAGTATTTAAGTTAGTCAAAGTGTGATGCTTTGATCAAAATATACCTTTAATTTTACAACATACGTGATGAGTTTCTGTTTGAAAAATATATTACCATATTTTTATTTATTTAAAGTATAACATTATTAAATTCATAAAACCATATCTATATATCTTATTTGTTTATTTATAGTATATTAGGGACTTCTACCATGAAGATCCTGATTCTTATGCAAAAGAGATAAAAGATTTAGAAACTCTTAGACAGGTAATAAAATATAACAAACTCTAACAATTTTATTTTGATACAAGTTTTGTTATAATCCTATGTGTATCGAATGTTTTCTTTGTTACTTTCTAGTTTTCTCTCTTTCACTTCCTGTTTTTTTTTCGTTATTAACTTAGTTTTTCTTTTGCTGCAGGTTTTAAGTAAAGCTTTTTAAAAATTTATTATATTTTAGTTTTATTAATTATTGCTAACAGTGTCATAGAATATCAGTCAAAGTTTCAGTCCATGATTTTGTTGAGAGTAATTTATAATTGAAATAAATAAAAAAGATACGTATTGTACATCTTTTTTTTTTTTTTTTTACTTTGTTCTCAGCATATATCATTAAATCTTTTTGTATTAAGCATAATTATAGAAACTTAATCAGTGTTTATCAGTCAGTCTATCTTATATGTTGAATTTAAATCTAGTAATGTTAATTTTTTATGTATTAAGGGATTTTTTTATTTATTTTGTATAATATATATTTTTGCAGAATGCCATTAAAGCTCCCATGGACTTTACAGGATGTAGCATTCTAAAACGTTACTATTCTCAGCTTCATAAATTACAAAGTCGTTTTCCTATGACAGATGATGGTCCTGCCTGTGTGCCTTTTATGTGGTAATTTTTTATTTTTGGTTCTGAATCAACTTTTTTCTAAATTGTTTGTTAACTTCAATGCTGCCAAATTATTAACTATGAAGCAAGATAGTACAATTTGGGTGTTCATAAGGAAATCAATAATATATTTCTTATGAAAACTTATAATTTTTTTATTAGAATATTGGAATTATAGTCATCTTTAAATATACAATAGATGCAATGGAACTGTAGTTGCACTGTCACAGAGTTGTTATTATAAAAGAATGATGATCAGTTCTTGGTGGTTATTTGAAGTCTACTATGCTTTAGATTGATGACTATCAGCGTGTATAAAGTAAATGAGGCTGATGAGCAATTCTGACCTCTTTGTCACCATCCTGCCTTTGGTTTTGAAACTGTGAAGCTATAATATCCTAGCCCTCCTTAGCTGACAACTGGCTTTTACTTGAATGGATTCTTTCCTTTTTTTTGGGCGAGTGGTTATTTGAAGTCTACCATGCTTTAGATTGAGGAGTACCAGCTTGTATAAAATAAACGAGGCTGATGAGCAATTCTGACCTCTTTGTCACCATTATGCCTTTGGTCTCAAAATTGTGAAGCTATAATATTCTAGCCCTCTTTAGCTGACAACTGGCTGTTACTCGAATGAATTCTTTCCTTTTTTTAAAAAACTCATGAGTAGCTAAACTATAGAATGAGATTTCTCAGTTTTTAAGTATGATACTAATTTTAGGATTTTGGTATGGCGTTGACAATAGAACACTGTTTAGTATTAAAGAGAGAATTTTGCTCTGGGAGGTGGATTAAAGTAAGCACAGAGAATTGTTAAGTATCCTCAAGGAAAATCAGACAATTTTGCCTAACTCTTTTCAGTTGCACAAGAGAAGATTTTCGTTAGTGGTGGATTTTTGTAAAAAAATCTCTCTGAAAGTTAAAAGAGTTTAGATCTTGGCAAATTATATTATGGATTTAAAGTATGTAATGCATTTTTTTTGCCAGTAATTGTTGTTACAGGGCTCAAAATTAATAATAGTCATTTGGTCCAGGATTACTAAAATCTGACTCAGACCATCTTGAAATAATTATCAGTGGTCTCCTGGACCAAAAAATGATTATGGTCAATTGAGCTCAGTATTCTGATTTCAATTATTTGGTTTCTTTGGGCTTTTGTTTCAATCACTAAATATTATGCTTCATCATAATTTTGAATATTATACAGTCTCTGCATTTTTTCATGTAGTTTCATTTTAATATTTAGTATAATGATTTGTTTGTGGTAAATATGTAACCTTTGGATCTGTGACTTATTATTATTATTATTTTTAGATTTCTTTTGTTAGCATAAATACAGAAAACCTTTTTATTTTATTCCACCCTTTAATCTGAGTGTTTTTAATTTTTAAGGACTGACATCTATTCTGGTGTAGCCTACAACATTACAGATATTGAATATGAACAAGCATGCATCCTGTACAACATTGGAGCTCTTCACTCAAAACTGGGTACCATGGACTCAAGATGTAATGCAGAAGTAAGTTCAAATGATTCTAACTTTCTTTTGAAGTTTATATTTTTCAGGAATTATTTTTTGATTCAGTTCAATTTTTAAATTTATATAGTGATGAATTCAAATTGTACAGTGAAAAATTCAAATTGCAAAAATTAAATTAAGGAATGAGAGCAAATTTTTTTATTTACATTAAAGGAATTGAGAGTATGATTTTAAAATTGTGGCTATTCTCCATTTTGTTACCCAAATTTATTGAGGATGATGTAGGTTTATTCAAAGAATTGCTTTGTTTGCAGTAATTTTAGTATGTCATTATCTGATTATTAAATCAAAAGTTATTGAGAATTATTTGCTTTTTATTTTCTTTCACTATATTATAATATTTTGTTACTAGTTTCGCAAGCATTCAATATGATTTTCATTTTAGCCTATATTATTCATAATCAGTAACAGGCAAACCTCAGTTCCTGAATTTAAAGTACTTTATTACTAAGTTAAATGCTTTTATTACTTATTTTAAATACTTACATGAAACACTAGACTTGAAAACATGTTTTTTTTAAAAAAAATATTTGAAATGGCCTTAAAAATTTCAAAATGTTTTGAAATTCTGTAATAAATTAGTCTATTATATTCGTTTTTAAAAATTTGTAATTTTTTAAATTAATTAAAATGTAAGGGTTGTTCAGTAACTCCTTAAAACATCTAAAAAAAATGACATTTCTAGTTTCAAAAAAAGCATATTTTACTATGAATTATTCCTCATTGAACTCAATTGATTTTCAACTTCATTGAAGAGTTTTAATGACTTCTTTTTTTTCCATTGCAGGGCATGAAGATTGCTTGTACTCATTTTCAGTGTGCAGCCTGGGCTTTTCAACATCTTCGAGATACTTATCCTCAGCCAAAAGGAAGTGACATGTCTCACGACCTCTTGACCTTTTTCTTAAATATTATGCTGGTACGTATTCATTATTTTTTGTGTGAAAAAGAATATGCACCGTGTTTGTTGATTTATTTTGGATATTTGTTTCAATTACTGATTCCATTCATATTAAAGCTTGATTAACTAGATCAGCATTTCCCAAAATGTGCTCTACAGAACTATCGGATTCCGTGGAAAGATCACAGGGATTTTAAAAGTCAAAACTTTTTTTAACCAGTAATAATTGTATTGAAATCTTATTAACAATGCATAATTACTTTAATGTTTTTTTTTAAATTTAAAATTGTTAATGTAAAATTCAAATGAAAAAAGAAGTAATTAATGAATAATAAATTAGTAATGAATAAATTAGAAAAAGAATATGCTTTTATAAAAAGTCTATAAGTATTTCTTATCCAGCTTTTCAATTCAAAATAAAATAACCAAATTCAAGAATGAAGAATTATGTTTCTCTGATAACTGTTTTCAGCATTTATAACAGTTCTTTTTTGAAAACCATAATTCATCTTATTTTATTCATTTTTCAGCATGAGCATACACCAATAACAAATTCATATATTTTATCCGCATTGAATATTTTTAAAACAAGTAGTGTTTAATAGTAAAAAGGGAACTGCTAAATTAGATGATCAAAACATAATTTTTTTTAAAAGTTTTTTTTTTGTTAATTTAAAAGATCTGAAATTTTAATTTGTAATTATTAACTTGAATGATTATTTGGTGCATATTTGTACATTGCTGTATAAATTAAGTTCAGTTAAATATTATTTTTATTAAAATACATTTTTTCTTAATATTTATTGTCTTTCCTTTGCTGCTAGTTTCTGCATTTATCCTGACATCATTTTTTGAAAATAGTCAGTTTGCTCTATTGGAAGTATTTAATTATTAAAAGTTAAAATTTATATAGGCTCAAGCTCAAGAATGCATTTTGGAAAAGTCTATGCTTGACAGTAGAAAATCTTCAATCACTGCGAAAATTGCTGCACAAGTGGTTGACTACTACAAGTGTGCTTTGGGTATAATGGTATCTGGAAGTCCAAGCACAGATACTGGAAGCATTCTTGATATTGTTGGATCAAAAATATTTAAGGTTTGTGTACATCTTTTTAATCTCCTAATCAGTAAGTGTTGATTTTCTATGATTATTAATTCCAATGGAAAGAAAGAGAAAAATATTTATTGCTGCCTTTATATTTTGAATTTTTTATTTCTTTTTTTTAAGTGCGACTATCATGCTAATTTTTTTGCACATTTTATAGCAGGCTGCCTAGTGTTTTTAAAAAGTACTTAAAGTGCTTATATTTGATTTGGATTTTTAAAATCTTTAAAAGGTGCTTTTTTTTATTCAGGGTTTGTAAAAAGTGCTTAATTTTCTATCTCTTAAAAAAGAGATTTTTTCTTTGTCATATCGATTGAAGTTTTAAAGTACAAAAAATTCATGATTTTCACAATTTTCTCTGCAATATTTATCAGAAACTAGTTATTTTATCATGATAATGTGAAGTTTTTGAAAATGTTTTGAATTTTGTTGATTTTATGTTCATAAATTAAGAACTTTAAATGATAGAAAAGAAGAATTTTTATTATTGCACAGATCTTAATTATGATTTTTTTTTGGAAAGTGATTAAAAATATTTTTTGAGTTATTAAAAAGGTGCTTATTTTTAAATTTTATTAATTTTTGTAAGTATGTAATTTGAAATAATTTTCTGATGTTTTTATAAATTCTGATTTTTTTTACCTTTATGCAATTCAATAGTATGTAAAAGCTCATTTTATTGATTTAGTTTCAAAGAAGAAATTTCGTGTTCATGAATGGGGAACATTTAGAACCTTTATTCAAAAATGTTTTTTGTTACCACCCTATTAAAATTTGATCATTCAAGTGTCTTGCATCTGCCTGATTCATGTGTACAGAGGCATACAAAATATGTTTGATAATCACGGTGAACTCTTAATAATACTGTAACACATAATTCTAATTAATTATTTGAAATAATTTTAAGTTTTGGGAATTTAAATTCATTTTCAAATTTCTGCTAGAAAATATATTAATATGAATTAGAAATTCACAAACATTATTTTTTGTTTGTTAGTTTTGTAAATTGTTATGATTTCCATGTGNTTTAAAAAGTACGTAAAGTGCTTATATTTGATTTGGATTTTTAAAATCTTTAAAAGGTGCTTTTTTTTATTCAGGGTTTGTAAAAAGTGCTTAATTTTCTATCTCTTAAAAAAGAGATTTTTTCTTTGTCATATCGATTGAAGTTTTAAAGTACAAAAAATTCATGATTTTCACAATTTTCTCTGCAATATTTATCAGAAACTAGTTATTTTATCATGATAATGTGAAGTTTGTGAAAACGTTTTTGAATTTTATTGATTTTATGTTCATAAATTAAGAACTTTAAATGATAGAAAAAAAGAATTTTTATTACTGCTCTGATCCTAATTATGATTTTTTTTGGAAGGTGATTAAAAATATTTTTTGAGTTATTAAAAAGGTGCTTATTTTTTAATTTTATTAATTTTTGTAAGTATTTAATTTGAAATAATTTTCTGATTTTTTTTTATCTTTATGCAATTCAATAATATGTGAAAGCTCATTTTATTGATTTAGTTTCACAGAAGAAATTTCGTGTTCATGAATGGGGAACATTTAGAACCTTTATTCAAAAAATTTTTTTTGTTACTATCCTATTAAAATTTGATCATTCAAGAGTCTTGCATCTACCTGATTCATGTGTACAGAGGCATACAGAATATGTTTAATAATCACAGTGAACTCTTAATAATACTGTAACACATAATTGTAATTAATTATTTGAAATAATTTTAAGTTTTAGGAACTTAAATTAATTTTCAAATTTCTGATTTTAATAATATTTTAGCAAATTAGAAAATATATTAATATAAATTAGAAATTCACAAACATTATTTTTGTTGTTGTTAGTTTTGTAAATTGTTATGATTTCCACGTGGGCGATAAGATATTTTGATGTGTTTTGCTGTTATAAAATGAAAGTTTCAGATACTCTTGAAGTTTTAATCTGGGTACAATACTAAAGATTAGATTCATGTAAAAATGCTATATTTGTAAAATATGTGACTTATTAATATAATATCTCTCAACCTCTTCATAAAAGCACTCAATTTGCACACATACTATTTGGAACCACTTAAAAAGTTTTGTGATAAAAATTATTATTATTTTTTTGTCTATCTATAAGACTTCAAATTGATGAAAGTAATGAGGAAAATACTTATTAAATTTTAGCATTTGTATGAATTGAAAAGTTAATTAGTTGTCAGGAAAAATTAATGTCAATTTCAGCTCATCTAATTTTCGAATTATCCATGTTCAATTTAAAGATAATCAATTGTAGTTCAGCTGTTGCATTAAATATTTTATTTACTTGTAAATGTCTTGAAAGAAATCTTTGAAAGGTTGTTTTGTTGAATTATGTTTCTATAATATTGCTTTTGTTTATTTTGCAAGTATTTTGATTTTTTATTACGCAGGTTAAAATTAATTGTTCATTCGTAATATTTCTCTAATAGCTTTTCAAAAATCTCAGGTCCTCTGGATTCATGTATATAAATGAGATTTCAAAAAGAATAAGTTTAGTGTTCTACTTTAAATTTTTTTTTTCTAATTATCTATTGAGTAAACTTTTCATTTAATTATTGTGTTGAATTATTTTGAACAATGAAAAACATAACTTTAAAGTATGGACTGAATCAAAAAGCAGAGCTGGTAAAGTTACTTGCTGACAGCTGTATACTATAAATATCCATTATCAGTATTATCAACTCTGTTTTAAAGCTGATTATTGTTTAAACTGCAGGCTGCAAAGTTATAAACAACTGCTAGATCATTGTTTCTTAAGTTACTTGGTAATGAGCTCTCTATTTAGTGCTGAACACTTGTTCAGATAAGCAGCAGTCATGGCTTGTCCAGAATCACAACACAATGAGTTAGTTGAATTTGTCAGATTAAAATAAAACAAAGAGGCATTAATTATAATTGTGTGCTGTAGAAAACCCAAACATAGTCACAGCAGCGTCAAGGTTACCGAATGATATCTATAATTTTAGTTGTGTTTTTTTCCCCTCTGAAACATTTAATTACACATAAAGTTTTTACAAACTTAAGTTTTTAGTTTTTCAAGCTTAATAATTTTATTTTTACCTAATTTTAAAGACACTTGTGTCTTTAATTTCTAAGACACTTAATTACCTTTTTCTGACCTCCATAATTACTCATTGTATGAGTTACAGGGAAATACTTGTAAAACAGTAATTAAATTTTATTAATTTTTATGTACATAATCACTTTAGTATCAATTGGGTTAAATATCTGTATATGTTGTTTTTAGGCTTGGAAAAAGTTCATCGAATTCAAAATCGCTTATTATGGTAGTATCTCACATCTGTATATGGGTAATCAAGCAGAGGAACATGAAAAGTGGGGAGAGAGAGTTGCTTGGTTCCAGTCTGCTAATGATCATTTAACTGAGGCTTTTAAAGTTGCTAAGGTAACGGACATTTTTCTTCCATATTTGCTGGAATCAATCTAGAAAAAATTAAAATCCATTTAAGGTACTCGTCACAAAAATACAAGATGAAAAGGAAAAAAAATGCACTTTCACAAATATTTAAACCTCAAAAAATTATGTTTCATCAGCTCTTAGATCTTTAACCTCTCTGCATTTTTTAAAAAAAATATTTCTTATGTTAAATGAAAAAAAAAATGCATTCAGTTTTACGCATGATCTGTGAATTTCCTCCTTTTATTTACAAAAATGTTTTTCCTTGTCTTTCACCTTTTTCATGTTTAGTTGTTTATAATAAATTTAGAGTAAAATGATTATAAAAATTCAAAATATTTAAAAAAAAAATTTGTGCATGATAAACTATGTATAACTCTGAATATGTAAACTTGCGATGATTAATCATAAAATAGGTAATTCTATTCCAATTTTTTGTACCAAATGTCAACCTGATTGTGGGTTTTATCTAGTCAAGGAGCAACGATCTTTCCGGGTTTAAATTAAAACTTATTGTATTGTATTCATGTAGACGTAAAAAGAATAATATGTTCTTTACACTTAAACCATCATATTTTCACCGCATATAACTTATTGTGTAATGTATTTAAACAGTTGTTTTCCTTCTAAGTTTCGTACCTCAACTAGGTAAAGTTTTCGTAACTGACATCTGGAAGAAAGGATTATTCAGCCATATTTATAGACTAATGAAGTAACCAAATTTTTTTTAATCATTATTTTTCCACGGTGCATATCGTTTTTAAAAAGGGTTTAAAGTTGCTTATTTTTGATTTTCGTTTTTTAAAAGCCCTTAAAGGTGCTTCTACCATTGGGTATTTTTAAAAATGCTGAATTTTCCCTTTTCGAAATTTTTTTTTCCGTCATCACTTTGACTTTTACCACATATTATTTAAAAGAGTGCTTCTCATATTGTTCTATTCAACGTTTTTACAATTCATTTTGGTGTCCTGTCTGTCCATAATGTTTGAAAGCGCCAATCCTTTTACATGTTTGAAGAAATACTTTTTGTTCACATGTGCCTCTACTAAGCTGGGTTCGGTGAGATTCCTGTACTTCTGTGTGCCACCCAGCTGCATTTTGCAAGATATCTCAATTTACGGCTTCATTTTTCACCGTCTGATATTGAACCTAAAAACCTCTTGACCTTTTTTAATGTCTAATATAATCAAGAAAAGAGTGCGTAGTCAGAAATTTATTATTTTATCATGATCATGTAAAGTCTTTGAAAATTATTTTTCCTTTTGTTAATGCATATAATGCTTAAAAATATTTTTTAGTGCTTGAAAAGTACTTAAAATGTACTTATTTTTTATTGAAAGATTTGGATACACACCCTTTTTTCTAATGATGTTAAATTGGTCAGAAAATTATATTTATGTTTATTTTCTAGTTAAAAGATTTCCTATTTTTCAGAATATTGACCGGGAAGAATTAACAGAGCCACTTTCATTTACTATGGACGTCATTGGTGGAAAGTAAGTTTATTCTTCACAGTGCTTAAAGTACTTTTTATTATGTAATTGTTTGTTAAAGCTTATTATTACTATAACTTATAATACAGCTTATAAATTTTTTGAAATTATTGTAATGTTAGTTGTACAACTTACTGTATCACATGCTTGAAAAACCTTATAATTTAAAAATTGGAGAGCAGTGAAAGTTTATAGAAATAAATAGTTTTAATAAAAGTTTAAATAAAATAAAATATAAATTCATTCGAGGAACAAGTTATTTAAATTTATTTTTAAATTAGTAAAAATGTGAACTTTAAGCCATAAATAAGTAAAATTTTAGTGATTCTCAATTGGGTCATATAGTCAATATGAGTTACAATTACTCATGGAAATTTTAATTGTGGAAATTATAGTTAATTTTATATTTTACATGATTTTGCTCAGCTCAACATATTTAAGTGAATCAAAAATTTTAGCAAAAATTATAAAATCACTTAGCCAAAGATAATTTTGTATGAACATTTTTTACATTCATACTTAAATTTAGTAAGTACAGTATAGAACCCGTTATCCGGAAATCAGAAAACCGGAAAACCAAAAAACCGGAATGAAATTCAATATATTTTCTCGAATTCAATATATTTAAAAAAATGACTTTTTGTAGCGATTCAGAAAACCGGAAAAATCAGTTATCCGGAATAGCGATGGTCCCGACCGTTCCGGATAATCGGTTCCCTACTGTGTCAAAAGAATATTGTATTGTTAACATAAGAAATTTTCATTTTAGATTATGTATTTTTAAAGGACAAACTTAGAACAGAATCAGACAAATAGTTTATAGGGAAGGAAAATAAAAGATTAATAAATAAATAAATAAATTATTAAATAAAAAGTACAACTTTTATGCACTTCATTTATCAGAAATTATTTGATTCATTTCAATTGAAATCTGATTTTTTTTTCATTTAAAAATTATGAAGAATTAAATTATTTTTGTGTTATTTAACTTTGCATCAAAAGTATTATAACTGCATAAAAAATATTTTGATTTGCATAAAGAGATCTGGTGTTACATGTGAAACCTAAAATTAATTTTAAGGTGATTATATTTAGTATTAAACTGTTCAGACCATATTTACTAGATGGCATCTTCCCTTCTTTTGAGAGTTTGAAGTCTTCATCCATTGAAAAGAGTTTTTCTTTTTTTATTCAGAGAAAATATGTTTTTGTGTCTGATTTTATTACACATATAAGATTGCTCTAATTAATAAACATATTCAGAGTGCAAAGTGTGAACCATTATGATTTGATTATATTATGCGAAAATTTGATCATTAAATCAAAAGTTATTCAGGGTATTTCTTACTTCATGGTACTTATTTCTTCCAGGCTCAACTCAGCTAAGAAGGAAAATGAATTTGTATATCACGATAAAGTACCAGCTCTCAGTACCTTACCAGAGCTAAAAGGAGCTTCTTTAGTGAAAGGAATTCCATTTAGTATTACAGACCCTGATGTCTCTGGCCCTGATATATTCTCTCGTCTTGTTCCTATGGAGGCTCATGAAACCTCTTCTTTGTACAGGTAATTTTATTAATTTTCAGGAGCTAATTAAATCCATAGTTTTTTATTGATATTCTAATATTTAAAACATAGCAATAAGAGTTTAATTATTTATAATTCCCTAAAAGTTGTTGTTATCTTCAAATATTTAAGAATTCTGGCAATGTTTTAGAAAATCCCCCCAAAAAATTTTGCAATAAATATTCAAATATTATCGATTCAAATGTTAATAAACTTCCTAAATGTTTTTTAACTATGCCCTAATTAATATTTGTTTCATTGCAATAATAAGTTTTGCAATTCAATACAAAAAAAGAAGTATCTCCACCCTAAAGCACATGAAATATGAAGAAGTGTGGGCCTCTCGTGGGACAGAACAGATTCAGAGATGTGTGGTGACCCATAACTATTTTCCATCTTCTTTATGCGTCAATCACAATTTTCACGAAGTGAAACTTTTAATTTGAAACTGAAACCCAAAATTGGGAACTGAAACTAAAATCTGTCTATCAAAATTCTAATCCAATAATATAATTTCTCAAATTAAATCTAGCCAATCATTGCACATTAAAGGTGTGGCTAATTCATTTCTCTGGTGAGATCCGAACCGAACACAGCATCTTTCTCTGCTAAAACTCATTGCAAACGGACGTGTAGTCCTATCTCTCTATAATCTTATTATTTTGCCGTAGCGTATATGTTTGTGATGTGGTTAATAAAATCTTAATGTTTAACCTGTAAACCTTCTGATACTTTAAGTGTACCTACACACCACAATACCGTAGATGCTTGCCATTCAAAATGCAGCTAGAAGAGTCAGCAAGTTAAATATAATGTAGAAGTGCCGGAAGGAAGTTGTATCCTTGTTAGTATCTATGAAGGTTTCTGGGGATGCATGATGTTTAGAGATTCCCCCAAAATGCACTAAGAGCTCTTTCTCTCCAAGGGCAAGTCAAATATGTTGTAGATGTGGATGTGGGAAGTTGTGTCCTGTCAGTAACATATGAAATAGAAAATCTTGATAGCCTTATGGAGGTTTCTGGGGACATATGATGTTAAGAGATTCTCCCAAAAAGCACCAAGAACTTTTTCCATCTAAAATTTGATTTTGAATTTTTTGTTTGATTCTTTTTCAATAATTGTTTCATGTTAATTCATTGACACACTTTCTTAAATGTAGATAGTTGCAGAGCTAAACTTGTGAAAGTGAAGGAGAGGATCATCTTTGTTTGAGTAAACTAGCTTTAAACCTTTATGTTTGCAATAGATTAAAAAAACTTATTGCCTTGATTTTATTTCTTGTGTGCTAGCACCTTAATGAACAATTCTGTGAAATTTGAAAATCCCAATTTGACTTGTTTGGGTCATAATGTTCTCACACTTTATGTGTTTTATCCACTCCGAAACAATCAGATTTTCTTTTAGTACTTTTATCCACTGAGATTTCCAGAATTATCAACTTATCAAAATAAATCACTGTTGTATGGTTAACTAAGACTTAAATAAGGTCTCTCTCCAAAAAATCTCAAGTATCTTCTCAATCTCAATCTTAAAAATCTCAAGTATCAAATCTAATGTATCTTAGTACTTTTATAAACTTATCAATTTCATTCAAATAATATTTTCTAACTATTTTTTTTTATTGATCAATATATTTGTTGTTATTCTAATGTATTAATATTTATTTCTATAAAAAAAGAAAAAAATAGTTTCTTTTGATGAAAGCTTAAAATCCTCAATTTTATTTAAAAACTGAAATTAAGAATTTGTTGAAAGGTAGATTTTAAAGTAAAATTAATTTGTTATACTATTTCACTACACTTTATTAACAAGTGACAATTTTTATAACTTCTACATATAAAAGTATTTGCACTTTTAGTACACATTTTATATATAAAAGTATCTTTCATTTGCCTTTATTTCAATTTGATTTTGGGAAGAGAGCATAATTATTGTATGTCTGTACTAAATGTGGCTATTTCAAAGCCTTTTTTAAAACTTCCAACAATCACTTTCAATTAAGAAGTCTTGATTAATGCCAAATTGTTTCTCTTAAAGTTAATTTTTTTTTTTTTACAAAGTTGCTATTACATATAGTAGTTACTTCAATCAATTGATCTCTTAAAAAATAAATCAGTGTCTTTTTTCATTCAATTTTTCTTTTAATTGTTGGAACTACTCTAAAATATTTTATACTTAAAAAACTGAATATTATTAATGAATAATTCAGATATAATATTTAATTAAAATAGTGGTTATTTTAAATATAATCCTATAGTTGAAGTGAATTAAAAGATATGAGGAATGGTTTTATTTACCAAATAAAGATGCATTACATTATTGAAATAAGTTCTATCCATTTAGTTACTTTTAAAATGTTGTTCTAATTGTTAAAAGGTAAAATTTTATTCTTTTGTACAACTTTAAATGTCTTATCTGCTTATACATTTTTTCTTGAATTTGCAGCGAAGAAAAAGCCAAACTCTTAAGGTCAGTTGTCTCGAAAGTTGAAAGCAAAAATGAGGAACTAATGTGAGTATAATTAATATTTTTATTCTCCACAATTATCCTTATCTGCCATTAAAAATGTAACTGCTATACTTTTTCTATGTAGGGCTTACTTGTCATCCCTGCAACTCGAGAATGTACTCTCATTTGATGATGAAGAAAAGATACCCGAAGAATTGTTGGAGAAGTGTGCAGCAATGAGTGTAAGACCATTAGCTATTGCTGACCTGCAAGATTTGATGAAAGGTGCATTATTTGTACATTAAAAAAAATGTTTTTGAATGAATTTTTTTATGAAAATTGAAAATTTTTATTTTATTTTTTAGAATTAATGGAAGTTTCTAAAGATGTAGATGGGGCTTTGAAATCATCTTTTGCTTACTTAGCAGACGAAGAAAGGAGAGAAATGAAGCATCAGGTGAGATGTTCACCGAATGAAAAAAAAATGTTCAAAATGAAGTATACAATAGATTTTTGATTGATAAAAATGAAAAAAAAAAACTTTTTTTCTAGTAATATGAGCCATTATTTTTGCTAGTCTGAAGTGTTCATCAAGATATTAGAGTTTGCATTTGAATGAATTTAAAAATATTGGCAAAGGTTAATTGATTTGGTTGATGTTTTTAACGCTTTATGATTAAACTTTAAAATGCAATAATAATTATAAAATTGTAAAAACTAATAAAATTTTTTTTAGCTTCAAATGGACTTATTCCACTTTCAATAATATTTCATATGAAATAAAATCGAGAGGAAAGTGAAGTTCATATTTCTGTATACATAGTCTAAACTGAAATTAATTTTTTAATGTAAAAATGTAATTAAAAGTGTGAATATGTAAATAATAAATTTTTATTAATGAAAATGAAGTAAGCATGGTAAATAGGTGGTAGTATGTAAAAAACGGTAAATTCATAATATTGCCATACTGATGTGGTCTTGATGTTTTATGTAGTGGCAATATAGTATTTTTGCTGAGATCTATTAATGTAGTCCTTTCTTTATTATTAGCTTTCATAACGATTAAATTATCTGCTTAATACACACTCTGCAATTGATTGATATAGGAAACGAGCCAAATGGTAGAACTTGTTAAAGAGTACTAAATAAAATCAAGTAAATTTCTTCAAAATATGAATTAGCATGAAGGATGGCCAAACTCGCAACCTGCATGTTTGCATTGGTGTTTGTTCCCTGGCAGTTTTGCCTAACAAGTGATTATTTTCCCATGGTATACAGTAATTTAAGAATGCAAATAGAAGTTGTGCTTTAACTTATTACATATATACTTTTTCACTTTCAAAAAAAGGGTTAAGATAACATTTTTATCTAAAATTCTTTTGATTATCAACATATTGTGCTCTATTGAATGTATAATTATAAATTTCTGAAAGCGAATATATCTTACTGAAATTACTTTGAATAAAAAATTAAGAAAAAATAATATTTTTAAAGTTAGTAATAGCAAAAATAAATAAATAAAATATCTTAGATATTTGTAAATAATGTAGTTTTGAAAACATGAATAGTACTGTGTAATGTAAGTATCAATTATTTTGTTTAAAAAATTAAAATAGAACTTATTTAGACACTATGTATATTTTTAAAAATACATTTATCTTTTCTAATCCTGAATACTACCGCTCCTTTAGGAAGTATTTGGTAAAAGATCACCATCCCTACTTATGATGGAGCTTAAAAAGGAGTGTGCCAAATATGATGAAGCTCACAAAAAAGCCATTGAATCGAACAATACCCTGGAAACTGCAGTGAATATCCATATTAATCATATGTCTCAGTTACTTTTACCCTTAGAGGAATTGGCTGCTATGTTGCCTTCTGTCAATGCTGTGAAAAGTAAGCATCTCAGCTATCTGTACAATTTCATTTCTAATTTCTGTGTCTGTATGTCTGTTTGTTAAAATAAATAGGATTTATACTCAAACTATTTATTTTAAATAATGTGTCCTGTAAACTGAATTTCAATGCTTTAAATATTATTATTATTTGGAATCATCAGTCTATACATAGATTGTAATTTTTTGATATTCCTGTTTTTTTCTGATAAAAAATATTTTGTTCAGGTATTCCTGATTTTTTTTTGTTTTTTTTTGTTTTTTTGTTTTTTTTTGTTTCTGCAAATACCACTGCAGATTTTAAATTTAAAAGCATTCCTGCAACAGCTTATTGCGGGCGAAGTTTTTGTGACCAACTGGCTATGTGGTCAGCATTTTAAAAAAGTGGCCAATTTGTCAGATAAGTTGGTACTTATTGATTTGAAACAATTGAGGTTTGAACCCCAGTTCCTTTAACCACTGAGCCATCATTTTTTAAAGTAATTAGTTTAAAAAATGAAAGATTTTGATATTTGATTCAGCTTTTTTTTACTTTTGATATTGTATTAAAAATCACGAAATTCAGTGGTACGAACTTGCAGATTGTCCTCTGATTATGTACGGTGCACCAACAAACAAAAGGACGACCCTGAATAACTTTTGATCTAATAATCAGATCTTCGCGTTCTAGGACTCTATCCTAATAGTTCAAAAGGGGTACTATTTTAGTGCAGATGATATTTTAAGTTGCAGATTCAGACTCAAAAACGTATTTTCTTTGAATAAACCTATCTTTTTTCGACGGATTCTGGTTTCTGACCCCCAAAATATAGGGGGTAGCCGCAATCCGGGGAATATGGTCCCCATATTGTTAATTTTACTTATTGTGTGTTTTGCCATATTTTTAGAACTTTTGAGGAGAATTGAAAAATGTGTGCTCACAAATATAAAATTTATTTATCCAAAGATAATTCCATGCGAAAAATAAATTTTAGTGAATATTTATTATTTTTTATTATTTTATTTAACAATAGTTTAAAAAAATTGAATTGTGCGGTATACAAAATTTGAGCGAAATTGGTTGAAAGTTCCTAAGAAATCAAATTTTAAAAAAGTATTTTTTAAAATTTTTTTTTTAAATGCAATTTCAAAACCAACCACAAGGAAAGCATGAGTTTCTGTCATATGTTTTGATCTTGGATATTTAAGCTCTTTAAAAATTTCAATTCTTAATTTATTATGCTGAATTGTCTCTAGCTCCTGAAAATGTCAAAGCCATGGCTGATTTTAATCTTCTGATCAATAAAGTTGAAGAAATGAAGAATCAGCGAATATTTTTAGAGCAGCAATTGAGAGATGCTTTGATGAAGGATGATATTACTACTGATTTGGTGACTATGAAGAAGAAAGAAGATGTTCAGGTACTTTTTCTTATATTTTTATTTTATACCATTTACTAATTTAGTAAATAATGAACTTAAGCAAATATTGTGAAATTAGCGATATATAAAAGTCTGGAAAACTTGGAAAAGTGAGTGAAGTTTCATCTAGAAGTTTGCTCTAATGAATATCACTACTATGTTTGAACCTTTTGTATTTTTTGTTTCTATCTTGTGTGATCTATCCTATTTTAGAAAACTCTTTTGCCCTTACTTTCTTATATTTATATTTTATACCATTTACTAATTTAGTAAATAATGAACTTAAGAAAATATTGTGAAATTAGCGATGTATAAAAGTCTGTAAAACTTGGAAAAGTCAGTGAAGTTTCATCTAGATGTTTGCTCTAATGAATATCACTACTATGTTTGAACCTTTTGTATTTTTTGTTTCTATCTTGTGTGATCTATCCTATTTTAGAAAACTCTTTTGCCCTTACTTTCTTATATTTATATTTTATACCATTTACTAATTTAGTAAATAATGAACTTAAGAAAATATTGTGAAATTAGCGATGTATAAAAGTCTGTAAAACTTGGAAAAGTCAGTGAAGTTTCATCTAGATGTTTGCTCTAATGAATATCACTACTATGTTTGAACCTTTTGTATTTTTTGTTTCTATCTTGTGTGATCTATCCTATTTTAGAAAACTCTTTTGCCCTTACTTTCTTATATTTATATTTTATACCATTTACTAATTTAGTAAATAATGAACTTAAGAAAATATTGTGAAATTAGCGATGTATAAAAGTCTG